TCGGTTCTAAGGATTGTTCTAGGTCCTTTACATACATTGATTTTCCTCAATAAGTCAGTTTTTGAAGACGAGAAAACCAAGGCACAGTGTAGTTTAATAACTGATCTCATATTGCATCACTGAGAATGATATCAGTCTGACATCAAAGTGTATTTTGAACTTGTACTCTGCAACCTTTTCTTAATAAAATGAGAGTATCACAGGTTTACTTAATTCAGCAAGCATTTATGGGACCGTGTTACGTACTGAAAAGTCCATAAACTTGTGAGGCAAAATTTCCTCAATGATGCATTTCTACGAAGTAGACACCCTGGGCAGAGCAATTCATGTATCTTAATTTTGTCTTCCCTCAGCAATCGATTTGATAAACAACCTGCTACAAGTGAAGATGAGGAAACGTTACAGTGTTGACAAATCTCTTAGCCATCCCTGGTTACAGGTAAAAAAAAAAAAAAAAAATCTCTGGTGGCCCTCCTATAAGCAATTCCTTGATTTGCATGGCTGCACCTCTAAAGTGGTTTGCTCTCTGGTTCAAATCAACATGGAGGGCTGGGCAGATGGCTCAGTGGAATAAGCGCTTGCCTGGCAAACACAAGGGCCTGAGTTCAATCCCCAGTTCCACAAAAACAAACATGGATATGCAGTCAGGTACCCCCATGAACTGAAAGCAATGACTGAGTTTTCTTTAGGACTTTGTATATTAATTTTACTTTTTTAGGGGCCGGGGAGATGGCTCAGTGAGATAAGTGCTTCCCTGGCAAGCACAAGGGCCTGAGTTCAATCCCCGGTTCCACAAAAAAAAAAAATAATAATAATAATATTGCTACCTTAAAGTATTACAGTTAGAACTTGTGTAAAAAAATTTATCAATGGGCATTATCAATTATGAAAAGTGTGCTAAACTAAAAAGGCTGGCAGGGGCTGGTGAGATGGCTCAGTGGTCTAAAGCACCTACTTAGAACAAGCTTAGCAAAGCACAGGGACCGCGGTTCGATCCCCCAGCACCACATGCCAGCCAGCCCCGCCCCCTGGTGGGCTGAGCTGGACACACACACACACACACACACACAAATAAATAAATAATTTTAAAAAATAAATAAAAAGGCTGGCAGTGTTTTGTTTTACTTCATACTCATTACATTTTTTTCCCTAGGACTATCAGACATGGCTTGACCTTAGAGAATTTGAAACGCGCATTGGAGAACGTTACATTACACATGAAAGTGATGATGCTCGTTGGGAAATCCACGCATACACACACAACCTGGTATACCCAAAGCACTTCATCATGGCTCCCAATCCGGATGATATGGAAGAAGATCCTTAATTACCAGCGAACTAACTTCAATAAGAGTTTTATTTTATGAACTAATATTTTGCTGTGTAACTGTTGTTCCTTATAGGTTGTCATCTGCAAGGATGCAAAGACGTGAGGAAATGTGAGAGGGCATCGGTGACCCCAAAACTGTAGTTCATGAGTAGGTACAGGAACGGACATTGAGTAGTAAAAACAAAGGAATCAAGATGAATGAAGCTTTTTATAAATTTTTGTAGCACAAGCAATAACTGGTTTTGTATTTTTTTCCTAATCCTTCCCTTTTAAGTACAATAATGCCATTTATCTTCCATTTCCTAATATTACACTTTTTTAAGAAGCCAAATTAGCATCCAAATTACCGCATTTAGCGTTAACTGTGATGTTAACAGTGTATGATTGACAAAAGTACTTGTGTATAATTTGTCTGACCACCAAAATATTTAAGTTTTTCCTAGATGCATATTAAGAGGAGCACTGGACTATTTCACCTTTCTTTTTATGTCAGTCAGGACTTTAAAACAGTGATTTCTAATCTTTTTGGAACTCCAACTCTTAGTATGGTCTCTACTGCATAAAAACTTAAACTGTCAGCTTTGTGATGTTGTAGTAGCTATAGCACTGGGGATGACTGGTATCACAAAACAGACTATGTAGAAACTATTCCTAAGTGCTGAATGCTTAAGTGTGCCTTCTCAGAGCTCAGCTGTGCTAAACATTCACATTCCCACTTGACCATCCAGAGGGCACACTGTATCCTGACAGTCAATGGGTGCATAGCAAACTTCAGTTACATAATTTATTTATACCTAGAGTTGAATAATTTGAAGGCAAAAATATATTTAAAGGAAAGCCAGTGAAGGGCCACGTAATTCTAGGTAGGAAGATGTGTCACTAGGTAGCAAGATGTGTTTTGCTTTTCCCTTAGCATATTGAAGAGCTTTACATATGTGGAATGTTTTAAAATTGCTTAATTTTAACCATATGGAGTGGATAAAGGTAGATATAAAATATCTTATAAGAGTTGAGCTATATGACCTGTATAACAGTGAATAAGAACTTATTTTTATGTATCAGATCCAGCAACAAACTATTACAAAAATATTTACTGATACAGGTTGAGTATCCCTTAATCTGAAGTGCGTGTTTTTCAGATTTTGTAACATTTACATAGATCTTTAACACTGAAATGCTCTAAAATCCAAAACTTCTTTGAAAGTGATGGTGCTTTCAGATTTGCACAGTAGGAATGCTCAATCTGTATTTCTCCAGTAAAAATTTAAGATCTGGAACCATCCACATACTAGAACTATAGTGGCTTTTTGTTTGTTCTTTCCTCCGTAATCACTATGAACCTGTTTTTTTTTTTTTTTTGGGGGGGGGAGGGTTCCTACTTCTAAGTAAAGAAAAAGATTTAGTCAGGTAATCTGGGTTTATGTCTTTCAACTCTGTTGGCCTAAACAGATATGAGTCTAGTTCCTCAGTCTTATAAAATGAAGATCATAATTCTGCTTTCTTCAAAGGGTGGTCATAGAAATGAGATATATATGAATGTATTTAATAACTTTAAACTATAAAGTGTTAATTTTTCAAATGAATTTGGGAGAACAAAGGAAAAATATGATCTTGTATGTGAACAGACTAATAAGGGCTTTGGAGATCCTTGAAGCTATTTATCTAGGACTGAAATAGCCATCAAGAGAACAGAAATATTATGCAGTGCCTCTGTTCTAAGTTTTTTAATATGTTTTAATTTATCCTCACAACAGTCACATTGGAAGTTTGTATCTTAGAGATAAACTGAAGCATGGGAGACTAGTTACTGATGTTTGTACACTTAGTATGAACGCTTCTGGCCACTGTGCTACACTACGTATTTCTAGGAGACCTTCCATGTATTTCATGGTATGCCCTCACACAGCAGCTGCAAAGATTTAACCAAATTTTGAGAAACTTTTTTACAAATGGGTTTTCTCTGTGATGGATGATGTCCCCAAATTTCTCCAGAGTATGTCTTTATATCAACATACACAAAATAGAATAATTCTGAGTCACTAGGCAACCTACTGTTGTTTTACACATGATGAAAATTAACTGGAATTATGTTCATTTGCTATACTTATGTAAACTTTACAAGCCATGAAATTAATTGCACTCTTTGTTGAATGCCTAGAAGTTTTTAACAAAAATTTTAAAGGCACTGTCAGATAATTTGGAGTTATTACTCCAGATACTGTAAAACAAAATGTCTTGAAATCAAATTGTTTGTATAAAAACTGTTTGTTAGAAACATTTGATAATGTACAAAGTAGTCTATAATGACACTGTTCAGTACATTTTTATATTTTTTGTTACATGCCACTTTTTGTAAATATTCTCAAAAAGCTTGATAATAAAAAGTATTTCTGTATCACCATACTTTCACGTGAAAATCTTGACCAACCTCTAACAGAGGGATCCAAGGAAAATATTTGGTTGTGCTATTTTCCTAAGCCTGGGTAACAGAACTATTTTGTTTTTTTTTTAAACATTTATTTATTATTTTGTGTGTGTGTGTGTGTGTGTGTGTG